GAAAATTCATCTAATAATAGGACAAAAATAGAGAAGTGTTGGCTTTATCCTGTTTCATTCAGTTTGAATGCAGTGTCAGGTAGATTTCACAGAGGTCATTATAGGAAATAATGCTCTACAGTGATCTGTATATGCTAGATCTTAAACACTGCACTTTTACTATTTTTTCGCAAAGTCTGGATCATTATATAATGTATTCAAATCAGAACACTTTGCTGAACATTTACCTAAATGAAAAGAAATTTCTGGATTCTTGTCTTGTTGTGGTGTACTGTTTTTGTTAGCAGATTTGCTGCTGGAGAAAGGAGCAGTTATGATAAAAGGGATTATATAAGAGAGCTCCTGCTGAGAGTCCGTGGCACTGTACAGGGTGATACCAAACACTATTCCCCAGGGCAGGTACAATAATTAGCCACAGGACTGGCACTCAGTCTGAGGGATTAATTAGAACTGGAGGTGGTGTTGGGGAGAGGCAGAGCAGCCATAAAGAGTGTCAGGATCGCTCTGGCCTGAAGCCTGTGTGATTTGATGTGAAATAGCAGCAGCTGGCTGTAACCTTAGGAAGTGCAAGAGAACAGCAGGTGGTAATTCCTGTCTCATTTACCATGTCTTCACAGGAACATGCAAGCTTGTGCAGCTTGGGTTTATTGGCAGGTCAGAAGGAAAATCCTAGAGAGGATTGTGACATTTACTATACTGAGCAAATGCAGTAGTCAAACTGGAGTGTGTGGAGCACAGTGTATAAAACCAGTAACACTGCTGCCTAATGTTATCATACTTGCCTCTGACAAGGTTAGGATGACCTTACAATATTGACCTCATGTGGACCAATGGACAAAGCTGAGCGTACTGTGCAAAATCCAGGACAGCTAGTGGGAATTACATCCTTCAAGGCTTTGATGAATGTAACAGGAGAACTATTTCATCCAAGTAAAAAAATCAGCCAGGGGAATGTTATGATGTTCTGGCATCCCTGGATTTTCTCAATAGCCGTTGTATGGGGCAAGTAGGTTTTACCTGCACTTTCAGGTGGGTAATGTTGGGCCATGGCTGTTGGCTTCCATCAGGCATTGTGTTTTGCTTGGCATTTGGGCAAAAATGGCAGTGAGGCATGCAACAACTGTGCTAATTTAGAAATTGTAACCAGCTAGCATTTCAGGGTGAGCTTGAGTAGCTGTCAGCAGAGGAATTTAGTAGACCAGTGGTTGCTGTTGATGACTGTAGTGTTTTGTATTCTGTTAGGGCCTCCCAGGGTGTAGAACAAGAACCCTTCCTATGTGCAGTTCAAGAATCAAACCAAATAAAGAGAAAATTGAGTAACTTTGAATCCTTTGTTCAGAACAGCCTTCGATAGGGAAAAATAAAACAGATCCAGGGGATATTTGTGGCTATATTTATAGCAGAGTGACAGGAAAGGAAGAGAACTCATTTTGTGGGAAGGATAGCTCTTTTTATGCCCTTTTAGAAGCTCATCGTGTGCCAGCATTATCTTTCATGGATGCCAGAGGGTGCAAAGCCTAAAGCCTCCCACACATGCAAAAACTATGGCCCTATTGTAGTGTCTTTGCTGGGTTCCATTTAGCGTTCCCATGTTTCTGGCACTCTCCAGAGAGACATGTTACTCATGGAGAGATGATCCAGGTCCAAACTGGCATTTCATGTGAGAGACTGTTAGGTCTAAGATTATGACCACTTTGGGCAAAGGAAGGAAAGCTTTATCCTACTTGGGAACAAACTGGAAGAAGTAACTAAGCTGCAGATGGAAGAATGGGAAGGACCCTTTTCTCATGTGTTGTTTATGTAGGCAAAAAATTGCAGTACTGACAGCTAATCTTGAACTTGCCTGTGTGGTGTTGGGAAGCTTTGGGAATGCTGGGGCTGGACTGTGCAGTGCTGAATGTAAATAGTTCTGTGTACAGCTACACAAATCTTTCCAATGTCTTTCATTTCTTCTCAAGGAGAAAGAAAATCTTTCATGACAAACCACTGTATTTTCTGAATAAGTGCCTTTCTTAATTAGTTCTCGGTTCTCCTTCATGTTGAAAATGAAATAAATCAAAATTAATATGAGTTTAAAACATCAAATTGCTAATATGCTAATTTAGAGGTAACTGAAAATTACTGTGCTGTAATTCTAAACGCTGATGAGTAAAAATGAAGTTGTTTAAAAATTTTATGTTTATCCATTTTTTCAATAAATGTCATTTATTGCTTGCTATTCAGATTTATCTTCTTATGTAGGTTTCTTGTTTGTGCTCATTTTCATTATATGGGGGTTGTAGTTTTATCTAGAGGAGAAATGGATCATGTGCACAGCAGGGCTAATGAGTCACAGATGTAAAGATTCTGACACATTACTCTCTAATAACTTCTTTAACTTACTCCATAATAAGATAAATGCATATTCCATAATAAGATAAATGACAACTTGATACATCTGTTTCCTAAACGATGTATCATTCCAGTCTTATCAGTGTCTCAGGAGTGAGTCCCTTTATATGTTGTGAGTTTTAGCCTTTTTTGGTTTTGTTTTCTGTTTATTTGTTTCTAAAGAGGAGATTTCAGGTCACTGAGCAATGCAGTTAGGCACACTGTGGTTCATCCCAATGAAATGGGAAAGCTGCATTTAGCCACTGGCTTTATAGGATCAACTTACAGATTCTCAGCTTCATCTCATGGATGTAGAGCAGGAATAAAAATGCTAAATGCAACTCCAAGATGCTAGTGAAGACATGTATGCATCAAAAAGTAACTCTCCCTTTTTTGTAAAGACTGGTGCAGTCTTTGTGATCCACAGGCTCTCTGGTGTGATGAACAGAGCAAGTATTTGCCACATTAAAAAGTCCACTGCAGCTGAGAGACCTGGCAGGCGGCCCTGGCCTGTTGGTGCTCCCCAGCAGGCCAGCTGGGCTGCAAAGAGCTCATGTGCTACAGCAACATGGGCTGCACCAGCAGAGCCTTCACACAGGACTCCTCAGAAGGGCCCTTGCCTGGCAGCCAGTCGGGCACAGCCTTCCTTTTAGGAGGTGCTAGGCTGGCATGGTGCAGCTCTTTGCTCCAGGAGGAGCCCCCAGAGGGGCTGTGTTGCCAACTCTACCTCATAAAGGTGGTCTGTGGGCATATAGGGGACTTAGAGCTCCCTGGATGTATTTTATTGAATTTTCCTCTGCCATTGAAAAAGCCTCTCCTTCTAACAGTGTGTGCTATGCTAAAGGCAAGGAGAGGACTTAGGGATTTCCTTCTCTTTAGGAATTCACTGCTCAACTGCATAAGGTTTTGGCTTTATCAGAAGGTTTAATTCACACCCTACAAGGCAGCTCAAGAAAGGTGTTGGACTGAAAGCAAAATTCACCCCCTTATAGTGTGACAGCAGGCCACAATCACCACACCCTTCCCTTGTTGTGCCAGTACAGTACAAATTCTGCACATCTCGGTAGAGCAGAATATGAGAAGCCATATGTGGCACATAGCAGCTGAGGGGGTAAAAATGGATAGGAAAATACTGCTGTGTGTGTCTGGAAAACTTTGACCATTATGGACTACCCAAGATCTAGCAGTAGATTTATGTTCAGTGTTCCTAGTTGTTTATGTGCTACCAATTTATGTGCTGAATGTCATATGTTAAACAGAATGTGAGGAGCAGGATATTAATTATGCAAAGCTCTTCAGAGTATACTGTCATTGCTGTCAGCTTCTGCAGCAATCCAGAGTCAAGACTTTCCACATAGATCTCGAACTGCTGTAGTACATTTCCATTGAAAATGGCTCAACCATCTGGTGGCTGATAGTCTTAACAATTTTCAAATGATCATAACCATTTATCGTAACTTTAAGGAGAGACACCTTCATGGGATTGCTCCTTCTAAAATCTCTTGATATTCTCATTGTGAAGTTTCAGCTTGTGTCTGCAGTGCAGTGCAGACCTCACTCTGTTTCCCATATGACAGAGAGGCCATTTCCTGTCTGTTGGCAGTGTGGGGTGTACTAAACGTGGTGTTTGTTCTGTTTATGTGTCAGTAAATGGTCTCTGTGATGTTTGTGTTGTGCTGTTCTCGTACCATGTTGTGCTGTGTCCCTAGGGTCTGCCAGGCTTCCCCACAGTTGCTGCTCTGCACAGTAATCAGATCCTCACCGTCAAGGTTTGTGGCTGACATGTACCTGTTCAGTCAGGTCTCTCTGTATCAGCATACAAGTGCACATGAAAAATCGTTTTTAGCATGGAATACCAGTGAATTCTTATGGTGGATCTAAGCCACTGCCTTTGCATTGATCTAAGTACTTCTGATGCAGAGCGTGGAATCAAATCTATAACTGGGTACCCCTGGAAATGCCTACATTCCCCATGATCTTGGTCAGGATTTTATTTTCAGATTAATTTTTCCTGTTGTTCTGCTTCCCTGAGGCATACATGAGTGTGGAAAATGTCAGTGAACTCTCTACTGGTTACATGTAGAGTCAGATATTTGTGTTAGATATCAGAGGTTTAATCTGTACATCCAGAGTTTTTCAAAGTGGATTTGCAAATTAAGCAGGAAACAATCTGGTCAAGCTGGACCTTCAGACCTTATAAAAATGACACCATTCTTCATGGCACACTATGCTGGTTAGAAAATCTGACTGAAAGTTGAACTGGTGCTTTGTCTCTAGAAGCTTTGCTGAAAGAACAATATATAAAAATACTGATTTTTAGAGCCTGGGTAATGAAAAAAAACTAATACAAAGGCAGAATTCTCATGCAAAATCTGGGGAGAAAACAGTTATGCATTTATGTCACATTTAAGACATATTGCTAAATCATAGCAGTATGTCCTGTACAATAGAGGTAATCTTTTTCCAAAATAAAATGCACAGTTTCTTTCAGGCAGAAGCACCAGTTCATATTATAACAGCTATTACAAATCTAATGAATATGTCTTTATTTCTTTCTCGGGCCTTCTGATGTCTATTCTTCAATTCTCTCATCTCTGATCTTCAACCTTTGACCTCACCTGCCTGATCAGATGGTGTTTCCTAAAATCAATCATGGGTTTCTCTCTGCTGATCAGCAGCTCATTAAACGCCGCCTCATTAAGGTAGTGCTTCATCTCACTGGAGTCTGGTTCTTTACATTCAGTTTACTCTTTGCTGTACCTTTTTGTCAGATGCCTTCTTATAGCAGGTTGTTCACTTGAAAATGCTTTGAAATGAAGCTGCTGTTAATGGTATTAACAGTTAAAAGACTATGGGTGGCTTTGCTAAGTGAGCCACGTTTGAGATGCCGGCAGCTTTTTTCCAGCGGTTTGCAGTGATGTGCTGGAAATAACTAAAGCACCATTTTGGGGTGTCTTTTCTTTTTTAGAGGGGAAGGTAATATGTTTTGACAACTCTCTTGAAAATTGACTTTAACAAATTAATAGGTAAAAATGAAGAGAGCTAGCTAATTGTCATTATAAAACAGCCTCCCAAAACAGATGGGAAATTATGTACAACTCCATCAAGAAGCAGTTATTTTCCATGCTCAGTTTTGTAATCTATCCATGTATCATTCATGGGCTTGGAAAATTGCTGTGCAAATCTGTATATTCTCAGATGCAACTTTTCTTTCTCGCCTCAGCTTTGGTATGATTATGTAAATCATGAAGCAAACAGATGCTTATCAAAAACAGTCACTTGCTCTGGAGAACTAGATGAGTAAAATATTTCAAGACCATCCCAAATTTTGGCATATGTGCTGTGGTAAAACAAGCAGTTTAGAATCTGAACCTTCTGCTCTGTGGCTGATTGCATTGGACCTATACAAACTGTTGGTCTTCAAGGCAAAGTGCTGTTTCTGCCATAAGCAGTGAAGAAGCCACTGTCCAGTTCAGGGCAGCTTCTTCCAACCTGTCTTGCACTCTTTATAGGTGAATTGATGTGTTTTTTATGTGGTTGATGCCTCTAAAGCCAATTTTGTGATGAGTTTTTTACTGGTTTAGGGGGACCAAGGACAAGCTGGACCTCCTGGACCTCCAGGGCCACCAGGACCCAGAGGTCCCCCAGGAGACACCGGCAAAGATGGTCCTCGTGGGATGCCTGGCTTAACGGTGAGTTACTCTGCTGCTGCTTTGGTGTGCACATTTCTCTCAAGTGTTTGCCAGCAGAGTGTCAAAGACATTTTCTGAGGTCAGATTGGCAAGTAAGACAGGAAGCTGAACCACAGGCAAGTTTCAAGGTGTACCTGAAGTCCCACACACACAGAACAAGTGTATAGAAGGGCCAGAAGTAACGCCAAGGTTCCTTGCCTCCCACCCCTGGCAGTTTCCCTACACTTTCTAAGGTTTCTCAGTCACTCACTGATGTTTAATAGCTGTGTGAGGAGAGTCTGCCCCTTTCCACGAGTAATAAATGTTTCTATTCAAACTGCAAGATAAAACTGAATTTGAGGCCTCCTAGCGTAGCTTGACTTCTCACTTCTTAATGGTTTTACCTCAAAAGTCATGGAATAAAGTAATAAACTGCTAAAGCTGCCCAGGGTACGATGAAGTTGGGAGTTAGATTCTGCCATTTTTAAACAAGAAGAACAGTACCATTTTCTTTGGCTCAACCACCATATTTCATTAGGACAAGCAGCAGAATCCAGTATATTGTGTATTGTTTGTTTTAGGCATGGGATGAATCCCACACTTTTTGAACAGATGTCTAAACACATGATTTTTATGAAAAGTATGTGTTTGTTTTTAGTTTCATATTTTGTGGCGTCCTTAATTTTTATTCCTTTGAAAGAAGTATCTCTTTTCACCATGAATGGCACTGTGTTATCAGTGTGGAAATGGAATCACAGACAGGAGAGAGACATGAAAAATAAAATGGCACATGTGTGGATGTATACACATGTTCGCATCCACGAAAAGTGAAGATTGTGGCCAGGAAGGCACATGGGGAACCAGCAAAGTGAGGACCAGCACTGGAAACAGAAACTAGTTTCTTGAAGAAAAAGCATCACTTGTTACATGAGACCAGGACAGCATAAATTTTTCCTGCAGGGCCTTTTTTGGCTAAAACTGAGAAAATACCTACACTCCTGTTCTAACCCTGTTCAGGTATTAGCTGTCTAAATGTAATATAGCATGATAATAGTAAGATGCTGTTAAAATTTTCTTGAAAATCCAGCAAAGCTGGCCAGTTGAGACATCTAGGACTCTAGAGCTGCTGCTGCTGTTGTTGTTTTGGCTTTGGCTTTTTTACCACTCCTGCCCTCATAAGTTCTAGCTCAAGGTTATGAAATGACATTAGAAGTCTGTAGTTCTCATGATGCTTTACTTGGGCAACCTTCCCATTTCTTGTTAGACCTATGGCACATCAGGCTCTGGGCCTCTTCTAGGTCTCCCTTGCGTTCATTTATTGTGGTTAAATGGACTGTAGTCAGCAGAGTTGGTGCTGGTTTGATCTAGTAAGGGCAAGACTGAAACCAGAATCCATTTCTGACTGCAGTGATAGTGTTGTAATAATTCACATACATAGATGGGGCTGGCAGAATCAGCTGGCCTTGCTAGTTACAGTGTGGCTGCGTGTGGCTTTGTGCTTTTAGCAAAGGGGTCAGTAGTGTTTCTCATAACAGAAAAACCATGCATTTTATGCAATGAGGTAATTTCATTTTATAATAGTTCTGTAATGATTTTGACTTTAGAAGGCAAGAGAGAGTTTCTTTTATAGTTTTTAAGCTGTGGATATCTTAAGCCCTATAACATTATGGAAAATCACTTCATAATACTAATAATAATGCTTTAGAATCAGATACAAACAAGCACTCAGGTAAAATCATCCAGTTTGCTGCCCCTTGCTACTGTTCTGTACCCTCAGGTTAATGTTCCTGGTCTCAGAATGCTTGTTCCTCCATGGCTGTGTGAAGCACACTCAAATAGGAGAGCAGTAAAGGGAGAACTTAGCTGAGAGGGAAGGACAGCTTTGTCTTTGAGGTAAAGACTTGTGTGGACCTGGTGAGCTGAAAACAGCAGCTGCACTGTTCTGTGACCTGGGAGCTTGCAGCGTCACAAGCTATAGGAGGGTGTCCTTAGAGTGACCAGTGACCATTAGGCAGGCATTGCCTCTTTTGCAGGGTTAGACAAAGCAGGGCTTCTCTTGCAGCCTCTCCTTCTCAAGCAAGAAGGTTTACAGTTGCCCTTCTGTAAGATGGTGTTTTGGGGCAGTGGCTGGCCAGGAACGTGTGCCTCCATGGCTTCTTTCTCCCAGCTGTCCTTGATGTGCTTGCAGATGCTGCATGTTTGCTTCTGAGTGCAGTACATGTATAGCCAGAGAAGCAGCTCTGATTCTTTTCAGTTGCCAGGAACAACGACATCAGAACAGCTCTCATCAATTTTATGACAGGCTTTCTTTTATGACAAAGCTGCTAAAGAAGACCCTGCAGCTGTGCTGATACGGTAGTGCATGGACTGCCCTGTGCTCAGTTGGGTTTTCAAGGGAGTGATGTATAAACCAGACCACTAAAATGATAGGAGCTCTGGGTTTTTTGGATGGGTATTTTTAGCCCATATTGTATGACTGATATGTTTTACTGTATATGTGTTCATATGGGAACAAAAGGGAGAAGATAAATTCTGACTGTATGTAGAGTTGTGCCCACAGAAAGAGAATACATTGGGGAAATGATGGGTTACCATTTTGAAAGCCAGTCCAGGTATTTAACAGCTGAGTAATTGTTTCATGGCTTCAGAATACCAATATGCATGGTTTTATGGAACATGGTAATTGACAACATTAAGTTCTGCCTGCTGACTGAGGTGATGATACAGACCAGTAATCTTGGAATATATAAACTGTGTGATATAGCACATATGTGAAAATAACCTTTCTATTGTCCTTTAGCACAGTGGAATAGAATACTATGTTTGGAACCAAGGACAGAGTCAGAACACCAGTACTTATCTCTTGACTTGAGAACTATATCATTACATGATTGTGAAGTAGTACTTCTTAAGATGTCTATGATTTGGACTATCAGGTTAAAAAGCAAAAAATAAATATGTTTAATGTGTAGTTAGCTGCCATACCTGTTTTAAGATTGAAATTTTTAAGATATTTTATTCCTAGATAGAAAACTGGATTCAAGATGTGTTGAAATAATTGACTCTTTTTTTTTTATTTGAAGGGTGAGCCAGGAAAACCAGGAGAGCAAGGATTGACAGTAAGTGTCCTTCCAGTTTTCTAAGAAAGTACAACATGACATACACCTTTTAAAATGAGAAATTCCAAAAAGCTTTATGGCTGTGTATTTCCTGATCTTCCTTATGTCACTGGCTATTTGAGACCTTATTTGTGAAGAAAACACAAGAAAGAAAATGTCCTCTGTTTAAATACAGTCCCATATGGCCAACTTCTTTAAGCTTGGAGAAGCAGAAGGAAATAAACCAGCTAAGGTCACAGTAAAACAAAAAAGAACCAAGCCAGGGTTTCCCAATTCCTGGCCCCCTCTTCACACTGGCTCTGAAGCTGAGCTGTTTATACCTTGAGACCATTGAGCAGCACAGGAACCATCTGCATGTTTTACAGGCCAAACTTCAGGCAGTCTCTGTGGCAAGAGCTCTGGACCTTTGCCTGACAGAACAGTGAAGAGACAGCACTGAAACTGTCAGAAAGTTCTTCTGTTCTGAGGTTTCATTTTTTTCCTCTGTGTGTGTCAAATACTTCCGATTCATTTGGAATTAAATTGAAGCTCCACTGGTTGTAAATCAGCTTTAGCCACAGGTTATGGCATCATAAGTTTTTACCTGTCACATATTCCCAGAGTGGTGGAACATACAGTGCTTCTTCTCCCTTAAGATCTCTCTTTAACACGGTCGTTTTTATTTTTATGAGAGATGACAGATTGTAGCTTGGGGCATGTGGTTTTGATTCCTGAGTGCTTCTGAGGAGGAGGATTATCAGTAATAATCAGCTCAACAATCAGTGCAGATATGATTGCTGTCTGAATTTGTGAAGATTTAAGCAGGTGTGATGATACTTTACCTTGACAAATTGCAAAATATTTTCAATTGACAAAAGCCAGTATCTTTTGAAAGAAAAAAAAAATGAAGATTCTGAGACTTGGAACTGTCTGCTGTGATCAGGTAGTTGAAGTCCTGTACTTTTTCATTTTGCAGTAATGATTTATTAATTTTAAAATCAAAGCCTCCCAAAGGTACTACCTCATGTTTCAGCCTGCTGCTGGGCTCTTTTTTACTCTGTTTTTTCAGTTTCTGAGTGCCTCTGAAGAATAGATACAATAGCTAAGAATGGAACTTTTTGGTTTGTTTCCTTGTATTTGGAACATTCTCCAATTTGACCACTGGACAGAACTCACTCAGCTTCTGCAAAAGTGTCCTTCTATTGAACATCAGATCTGCAGAGTCTCAGGATCCTTGATAGCTTTTAATCCATCACCTTTTAGTCCTCATGTTCAGAGCATTCCCACTGCTTTAACTTAACCATCTGTGTGTAAGAACTAAAAAATACTACTACTATGTTTCTCTAAATGCAGATATGTTTAGATAGGAAGAAAAAGTGTTTAAAAATAAAATCAGCACGTTTGAGTTGGAGAAAGATTCCAGATAACATGAATTTCCAGCTCCAAATGTCTGCTTCAAAAGTCAGTCTGACAGTTTAAATGTTAGGTTATGTATAGATCACGTTAAAAGCATCAGTGTCAGGAAGGTAATTAGTTTCTTTTTATTCTTCTTGGTGCTTCTGACATCCTCTTTATGCCAGTACAGATTTGCAGACTTCTCTGCCCTGTGGAAAATGTTACAGTTATTCAGGGACTGTTCAGCTGTTTCTGACAACTTCCGTCATACATTTCATGTATTTCCATATTGGAAATTCAGATACTGCTCCAGGAATGGATGATTTCCCAACAGGTATGTTAAAAGATTGCATTGCTAGAAAAAATAGTATATTATGTGGTGAGAAGCACAGGCTTTTTCCTGCCTGAGTTTCTTTTTGTGCATTTTTCACCTATTAACTTTTCAAATTAAAGGAAAACAGGGATCTCTGCCCAGAGGAGCTTCTATGTTATTTCTGCAGGAATTCTTTTGTAAGGACTTGCCTTTGTTTCACCCCAAGAGTCTCTAGTCTGAGTTAGCTTTCTGTTTTAATTCTTAATGAAACTGAAACTTGGAATTCAATGAGTTCCAAAAAGTACTACCAGTCCTGTCTCCCAAAATTCCATTTGTTGGAGTGTGCTGTGGTTTCCTGCTTGCCCACCTGTCCAAGGCCCTTTCCAGCAAGAAGCAAGTACTATGGCATATATTCTGATTCTTCCTCCAAGACAGAGGTGGGATGTTGCCAAGAAGGGCACTAAATGCTGGAAGGGGATCCATACAGTTTGGGTGACATGCTGAAGGTTGTGGAAGATACAGGCTATTTATGGCCCATAGGGTCACACTCTCTGAGGCTTTAAATCCCATGCTGCTGTTCAAGTTAAGGATAGCAGCAAGCCTGGCCTCTGGATTATAATGATGGGGACAGAACATTTTTCTCTCCAGAAGCATTTATTACACCTGTATTTGGTAGCATGCCTTGGTATTTCTAGATGAATGTACATGGCATTGAAGAGCTGGAAATTTTTGTGTGAACCTGTGAACCAACAAAGGAATAGCTTGAAATTACTTAGTTTTCTATTTTCCCATGAAAGAAGCGGAATAAATTTCTTCAAAAGTACAGGATATGGCCACAGAAATAGGTAGCAGTGTTTTCCAGCTTGTTCCTCAGGATGTGCCACGAGCCTGTGACACACACTGAGTAATGAGTGACCTACTGTATGAATCAATACTTAGAGGTAACCAGGGCAACCAGGAAGCCTCAGCTGAAATGCAAAGAGCAGATTTATTTCATCACCTTGCTGACAACACCAGGCAGTGGAGACACAGAGACCCAGCTCTGTTAGGCACAGTTTCTCCTAGTGCACAGAAGGGATGGGGTGGGGCTGCTGCTGGCCCCAGTATATCAAAGATTTCCTGCAGGAGCAGTGTATCACAAGGCTGTGCTTCTATGCTTATTCCTTCTCCCAGCAGAAAGAGGGCTCAGGCATGTCTGTGACAGGGTGTTGCCTCCACACAGGAATTCTGCTTCTCAAAACTGGCAGAGGATGAACAACAGCAAACATAATAACTGGAGTTTCCCCACACCAAAATTCTTAGTGTTCCCAGCTGCAAGGTCGTTTAGAGTGAAATTATTTCCTCCTTAAAAATTTTGTGGGTTTAACCCTTTCCTCCCAACACCTGCAACAATGTGTACCTTGATTTACAGAAAGTTGAAATTATTTTAATGCATTTGGAATTCTGGCAATGTTCATGTTCTTCTTTCAATGAAATAGAAAATCAAGTGACTCTTGTGAAAAGATGACAATTTGCTGCAACTGAGAATCTGGTGCCGTGTTTTTTCATATTTAATGAAGTTCTGTGTCAGTAAATAAAAAAGAAAATGATGTTTTGAGGTGATGTTTTGAGAGAGGGCAGTAATAACTTTTCTCCCTCTCAGACAGGAGAGTTTTGCTTAGACCATACACAGAGAATGGCAGTATTTCAGTTCTCTGACATGAGTTCTGCTTTGGCTCGAGAGAGTTCATCTTTGAGATGAGGCCATAAGGAATGGCCTTATTTTTTCCTATTTCCATTGGAAAAAAAAAAAAAAAAGTGTGGGTTATGGCATAGTGGTGGGACAATTTAGCATGTGGGAGATTCTGTTGTTTCTTACAGGAATCTCTGTTAAAAATCATTCCAGATTGTTCTTGTGCCAGCATGCTTCTTTTGCTGGTCTGTCCTTGCAGTTGAGATGTTTGGGAGAACTCTTTGCAAGGGTTTTTTGACTCTGTATGTTGCTGTGTCAGGAAGAATATGTTTGCTCTTTGAGCCAAGAAATTTCAGTTTCTTTTTAGGTGAGATGGAGGTTTAGGTTATAAAGATGTGACTGCATGCCTCTCTAATGTTAGAAGAGAATGAAAGAATGACTTGCAGTTGAAATTTTTGTCTGGTTTCCATGACATTGGAAAGCCCTGCAGATGTACTTTCTTCAAGAGTTGAAGGTATCATTGCTCTGTGCAGAAAGGATTAAGAGAATTCAGGGGGAGGCCAAGCAGTGGGGTGACCAAAGGGATTAGGTTTTGAAATATTATGTGGAACTAGAAAAATGTGTGCTACTCAAGAGAGAAGGGCAGTAGTTTCTGAAGCTTTTCAACCTTTTCATTTAAACTTGTGTCCTGCCTCTCATAATTCATCCTGCTTTTCCTGCCATTTGTCTGCAGTTCTTGGTGATAAGGACTCTTAAGTACCATGGAAGAGTTTTTCCAGTTTATTTTCTCGTTTTCAGAGTGAATAATAGATGGATTTGTGATTTCTTTCTACCCAAGAGTTAGGATTTCTGGTTGCAGACTATTCATGAGAAGTTAGAGTCAGTGATGGAAAATATTAAAGGCTGACACTGGCAGATAGACATGTTCAGATTCATAAACTGCAGTGGAATAGAAGGCATGCATGGGATGATTTTGTTCCTAATTTCCATTTAGGGGATCTTTTTTGTGCTTTTATGTGTAAAGTATTTTAAACTAGTTCATATTAATAAAAATCTGGAATATTAAAATGTGCTATGTTTTCAGCTCCTTTTTTCATAAGTAAATTTAAGCATGTTTAGTGTACAACCACATTTGTCAGTGAAAGAAAACCTCAGTGTATTATTTTCTTCCCCAAAATGGGCCTTAAAGACATATAAGTAATTTTGCATATGTTTTACATGAACAGAACACTCTAGAATAACCAGAGAACTCAGATAAAGGTGCCTCTTTGCAAAACAAATCTACACTATGATTATTAACCCAAATGCAAAATCCCTCTGCTTTAAGATACATTGTTTTCCAAAGTAGTACTTTTGTGCTTACACAGACTTGCTGGGCATCTGTTAAAGAAAGTAAAACATAATGTTATTGCTTTCACTGGTTATTCAGAAAAAGGAGGATGTTCTTCCAAAGGACATAGCCGTATTTGTGAAAGACAGTGGAAAAGTGTAACCTTGCAGTTAAGTCTGTAGAATGTCACAGCTTTAAAATGAATTAATACTATTTTTCATCTTAGGTAAAAATGAACTCTCAGGGACCAGGCAGAATTGTCTGGGAAGTTCTGCTGGTTTCAATCCAGCCTTTCAGGCCAATGGTCAAGG